AGTATTTAACCATATATTTATCAATTTTTATCAATTCTTTATTAAGTTATAAATAAAAATATAATTGCAATTTTTTTTTAACACACTGTATATATTATTTTAAAATTGTATTTTTATTTTAATTATTTATATAAAAAAGATTTTTATCATTTGAAAAATAATAAAATTATTTGGTTTTTTTTAATTTAATAAATATTTTCTTATTGATAATAAATATTGGTCTGTTTATTATTTTTTTAATATGAAATATGACAAATACAAAAAAATATTAAAAGATATTGTTTATAATTCTTTGTTAAAGTAATTAATTATTTTAAATTTAAAGAAAATAATTAAAATAGATTTTATAATATTTTAATTTTTAAATAGTATAATTATTTTTAATAGAAGTTTATTAAGACAAATAATTGCAAAAAATTTTTTTAATTGTTTTAATTAATTATATGGAAAAAATATTTATTGATTTATATAATTAAGTTAATTTTTTTTTTAAAAAAAGTTATAATAAATAATATAATATTTTTTTTGTTTAAAAAATTAAGTTAAATAATTTTTTAAAGAAATTTTTTTTTTAATTTTTTTATTAATTCAAAAACAAATATTTTAAGAAAATTATATATTTTTTATAATAAAGTTTATATATATTTTTTAATAATATTATTATTTAAAAATTTTAGCTTTTTTTTTTAAATAAACTTTTTATATTTTATAAATAAATATAAGAAAAATCTATTTACAAGTTAAAAATAAAAATATTTTATTTAAAAAAAAGAATATTGAAAAGAATATATATATATATTTTAAAAAAATTAAAACTTTAAAAAAGATAATTATATAGTTTCTAAAATTCTTTTTATTTTTTTTAATATTAATATTTTTATTTTTTTAAGTATATAAATTTTTTTGAAAAATTTTGCTTATTTTAATTTAACATTGAATTTTTAATTACATTTGAATTAATTGATTAACATATAACAAGAAATATAAACAAAATCTACAATTCTATATGTTTTATTTTTTGCAATATTAAATTTGATAATATTATTGATTATAATAAAAAAAAACAAAATACTGAGATATTTTTTATTAAAAAATACAGTAGTTATTAGAAGAAATAAATAATGTAAGATTAATATCTTAACAATAAAATTAAATATATACAAAAATAAGAAAAATGAGTTTAGATATATTGCATATAATAATTTGATAGTTTGTAGTTACTATTTTAACAAGTCAAAAAAAATATTTATAAAATATACTGTATATATAATATGATATTAAAGTATTCACAAGTACTTATTATGAAAATATATGATTTAACTATATATTATGAAAAAAAATCTTTAATGTAAAAGTATTTTTATTAAAACAAAGTATAGTGATTGTTTTCAAGAATGTATATGTGGTTCCTGAGTCTATTTAAAATGAATTATTCTAATTTTTACATATTTACTGTACATTATGAAACATTTTAAGCATACACGTACTGTATATGTAACACGATGTTATTATCATATGCCAATAATTATCCGTGAAACTATTTTATGTCTAGTAGTCTTATATAATGACAGTTCCTATTAAGATATTTTCAAGATCATTAGATGATATATCAAAGATGTGAAAAATACTTGTTAATAGCTATCTTTTAAAAGGTGGATTTATTGTCCTTGATTTAAATAAATCAGATGATAAACCACTGGTAATTCGGTTGATAAAATTTGATACTTCATTAGATTTTCAAAAAGAGGTAAAGTTAGAGAAGCAAAAAAAAAGGATCATAAAGATTTATTACCTTAAATTAACGTTTTGATTTTTTTTTGATAAATAATAGCCTATTTGCAATGAGAAAATTTACAATTACTAGAAAATGTAAGTGGGCTTTGTCTTTCTACAGAATATATTAATGCAAACATTTCAATGCAATGTTGATGTGCATCTCTTAACAATATCAAGAATGGTAAGACATGGTGTCTGTATTGTGCAAATAAGGTCTGTCATACAATTGAAGATGCTAAACAAGTTACTTTTAGTAAGAATGAAGAGTGCCTTTCCAAGACATATGATAATGGGTTTTCGCCTTTATCATAACGTTATTCTGAAGGATGCATCTTTTAACAATGTGAAAAATAAGCGTCCTTGTATACTTGAAGATTCCAAACAATTAGCTTATAAAGCTATGTCACGAGATTTTAACAAAGTACCTTGGCCCTGGAAATATAAATAATTTTATCCCTAAGGTATGTTTGATATTACGAAGATCCACTTATAGTTATTCCTGAGCATCTTCGTGAATTGGGCTCATTGAATGAACTCAAAACTTTAAATGCGAATTACCACTCCCATTTACTACATGAGATGAGATATTTTATTTGAAATTTGTTTTTTACAATGCTAAACATATTTACATACACTATTTATTAGGCAAATGCTAAGGCCAATATTGAAAATAAATGAATGTAATTTTCGCGTTTTTTGCACGATATAGTAACTAATCAAAGAGCATTTACGTTCTTTTCACTAGTTTCCTGAACTGTGGTGTCCCCAACGTAGCTCGACACCATTCGGCTTCTATAGAACCATCATTCGTTTGTTTTTTCCTTCGGTTAATATCGTCACGATTCCTCTTGACTTCATATTTATATTTTTCCTAAATTTGTAAATGCTGTTAGAAAAATGATTGAGCTAAGAAAAACACTCAAATATTACATCATACATACCGCAAATGTAAACAAATCATCGATACCATTGATGAACCGTCCACAGGTCTGAAAAGACTTGAAGCTCAGTATGGCCAACATCGATCATGATATAAAGTCCGGGAGCAACCAAAACCATAATACAATATAGCCAGTCCATGATGTCACTATATGAGTAATTATTTTTGAAGGTGGACAGGGATTTTTCGGACACTATAATTGTGCTCCTTAAATTACATTGTATATGTATTGTTTAAAGTAGGTGCCAAAAAAAACACATCTATCATTTTCATCGCTTTCAAAAATAATTATCCATATATGTAAACAATTTAGCAACGAATAAAATAGGGCATTATGTACATAACCGAAATCATTACCAATGCTTTGCCATGAAAAAACAATACGATCTTTTCCTATCTTCTTAACCAGTATATCAAGTGCATCTTTCATGAAGATACCCAATCTGATAAAATCTAAATTGTTCTTGGTTTTATTGTTTTTTCCTTCACCAGTTGGGTAATTCTTTTTGAAGGCGGACAGGGATTTTTCTGACTTTATAATTGTACTCCTAGAATTTATATTGTATATGTATTGTTCAAAAAATAGGGATCAAAATATCGTATAACCATTTTTATCGTTTTCAAAAAGAATCAGCCAGTTATCTCCCCGAACATCATTTTGTAGCTAGATTTGTTATTATTCACAATACTGCCAATCATGTCCGGCTGTTTTGCACGCGAAGGGTCAAAGTTGGCAAGCTTTTGGACCTTTGCACTCATGCTAGCTGTGTTCGGCCATATACTTGGATGTATTGTAGCATTGTGAAAAAAAAAACGCAATATCGGGCTTATTATGTTAACAGTCAATGTGCCTTCACTAAGAAGTTCATTTACTGGATTAATGGGAATATTTCTAACCCTTTATAATAAATAAAATAATGTTAATCAGACAGTTAAGAACAGATTAAAAAACATCATGTTTTAACTTACAGCTGTAAAAATATAAACCGCATGATTTCAAACTTTTTCTGATCAGTGGTGTCTTGGAAAGATTTCGTAAATGATCCCTCTATAGCCTTTTCTGCTTCTCCCAAACCAAGGTCGTCATCAAGTGCAGTCTAAAGCGGAAAAGTAATAATATAAATTTATATGTGTCTTTTCAAAGTTGATACATTAAAAACAATAAATTAATAATACCTCAATATATTCCCGAAATAATGCTTTAACATTTGGTGGAACTTTTGCCTTCCTGCGTAGGAATTACGCATATTTTTTTATAATTGTTCCAAGGTACCCCGGGAAAACTCTTGAATTTGAAGATCTGAGAAGTTATCGGCTTGCAATAAAAGAATGTGGGATAAACTCCTAAGATTTCCAACAAACACTTGTCAATAATAATTCTTATAAGGAGATGTGTTTTTAAAATCCAATTTACAATATTTCATGATACTGCGCCTCAATCGATAAGCTTGACTCTTGTGCAATTTGCTGTGCATTTAAACGGTACGATGCGAATAATACAGAGATATTGTTCTCCTGAAACATATACTGTATATGACAACCACGTTTATCAGCAAAGATCGAAGTATTCTAACTTGTAAAAAGGAAATAAACTCACGGGATTGTAATAAACGTTATCAAATGCACCCGTGTCATTTAAGAAAACTCTCTCTTGGTCGCTTTCCTCATCATTTACATCATCACCATCTAAATATTCATCGAGTGTAAGGTTCCTGGGATCTCGGGTATCTGCATCAAAATCATTATCGGTTTCTTCGTCACTTTCACTTCTTATGGTTAGATAAACGATAGAACTCAGAAAATATTTGATGTTCAGGTGTTCGTGGTGGATGGGGGGAGGAGTAACAACGCATGGAGGAATTTGAACGTCATAGATAGGTTGAATATTCTCACTGTCTATTCTTGCTTGTTTTCTCTGCAACTCCTCGTAATACTGTAATAAAAGTGGTCAAAACTACGCCCAATGACCACATATGCTTGACAAATAAATTAATATCGACAGTTTTATGAATTACAACCTAGCAAGAAAAATAAAATTCCGTTATACACTATATACTGTATTAAGTAAAGAAAGAAAAGTTGTGTTTTTGCGTCCGTGTAACGTTATGCAATACACAATATTTAGTAGGAAAATTCAATTCAAAAAGATCAAATATGTCTTGTCCCGAATGCAACCAGGAATTTTCATTATCAGAATGGTGCTATTCATATAGTTATCACCTTCAACAAGATTTTGACAAATGGACAAGTGGAGATAAAAAAATTGACGAATTTATACAAAAGTCTCAGCTTCAAGCT